AAAAAAAAAAAAAAGACTTTATCACATGCATATGTAGGGTTTTTTTTAACCAAATTAGATCGTACTGTTTGTGCCTGCTATCATTAGTGAACAATCTCTACCTTTCCATCTCAATAAAATTTTATCTAACATCCAGTTCAATTTCAAATTTCCCTGTAATCCCCCAATACCTTTTATAGCTTGTTTGTCCAAACCAGTATCCAATGCAGGATCCTGTATTATATCTCCTTAAGTCCCTTAAATATGTTTTTAAGAGAGCATAGTCCTCCCTGCCCCCCTTTTCATTTCCATAACACTGACTTACTGAAGATATCAAGATAATTATTTTACAAAATAACCTACCTCTCGATTTCTCTGCTTGCTTTCACTGGTGTCATTTAGCTTGTTCCTCTGTCCCCCTGCAATTTCTATAAACTAGATGTTTTATCTAAAGGATTAATGGAAGGGCGCCTTGGTGGCTCAGTCGGTTAAGTGTCTGCCTTCAGCTCAGGTCATGATCTCAGGGTCCTGCTGGGATCGAGCCCTACGTCAAGCCCCTTGATGGGCTCCCTGCTCAGTGGGGAGTCTGCTTCTCCCTCTCCTTTTGCCCATCCCCCTGCTCACACACACTCTCTTTCTCTCTCAAATAAATAAATAAAATCTTTAAAAATAAATAAATAAAGGCTTAATGGATTCGAGGTAAATACTTTCAGCTAGAACACATCAAGGATGAAAGTATTTATCTCATAATGTTTCACATTAGGAGACACATAATATCTGTTGGACCCATCATTCATATTGTTAAGATTGGTCACTAAGTTAGGGTAATGATACTGTGATCCCGCCATTGTTCAGTTAAAGGTGCCACCTTGTGATTAGAAAGGAATCTGTGTGGAGCTATGTTGGCATTATGCTACTATCCATTTCCCCATCAACCATTCATTTAATGGTATTAATATCAGTTGATAAACTCTGTCCAGATTATTAATTTTACTTGGGTTATAGAATGATTTACTAATTTTATCATTTCTTTTACATTATTAGCTAGAATTCTATAAAGTAAAACTTTCCTCTATCACCTGGGACTATTCAGTCACTATTACTTTGAAATACAGTTACTACAGGAGAAACAGGATAAATATTTAATTCTTTCCCTTTAATTATCAATTTTCAAAGTAAAGAGTTGATTTAATAGCAGTTTCAAATGGTAATATGAATTTTTTCTGGCTTTGTTTTTTTTAAAATAGCATATAGTCTCATGAATTTTCATTGGTTCATTGTGTTTGGATCTACAACAATTATTATTCTTTCTGATACTCAGATTTTTAGTTTTGTCCAGTGAGGACAACTTGAAGCTGGTTCTTGTGTCCCTTTGTCATAACTCCATTACATATTCAAGGTGGCCTCATTCTCTGGCCCTCAAATTTCCCTAGGCTCACCTTGTATTTTCCCTGTCACAAACCTGGAATCAGCCATTTCTTAAAGGACATTTGGTTCCTTTTAATGGGGAGTAAAATTAGAAACCAAACTGGGGCGCCTGGGTGGCTCAGTCGGTTAAGCGGCTGCCTTCAGCTCAGGTCATGATCCCAGAGTCCTGGGATCGAGCCCCACATCAGGCTCTCTGTTCAGCGGGGAGCCTGCTTGTCCCTCTCTCTCTGCCTCTGCTTGTGTTCCTGCTCTCGCTGTCTCTCTCTCTGTCAAATAAATAAATAAAATCTTAAAAAAAAAAAAATTAGAAACCAAACTTTGGTTACCTGGGGTGCTCCCTTTTACTAGGGGGTCATTCCTCTTACATTATTTCAGTGGACAGAGCTAGAAGATATGTGTTTTTTGAATAATGAGTTTGTGATGATATTTTCAATTTTAACATTATAGTGTTTCACTTAATTTCTTTGACTTAGTAACTGTATTGGAATCGAGGGGCTGGGGGATAAACACAAATCTGTGCCAGAACTTTCTAACAAAAACAATACCACATATGATACCCATAACATTTCTATCTCGGCAGCAATAAGGGTACACTAAAATTGTGTACTTTCAATATTTACTGATTAATATGTCAACGGTTCAGCAGAAAATAATAACTATACTGAGTTGTAGTCCCATACGTTTTCTTTTAGATATTTTACCAGACTGCATTAGTTTCCTTGGTTGTTTTTTTATTTTTATTTTTTTTTGCTATTTGTGTTTGGTGGCCTACTTCCATATTGTTCTATCTAAATGAATATGCCATAAATATTAATTCAACATTATAAAATTGTAATGGTTTTTAGAGTAGAACCCATAATCTGCTCTGAGAGCTGTTAAAGTTGTTTATTAGGAACTATAATTATGTAATTATTTATCAGTTACAATTTTTTCCTAAAGCACTTCACACATATTAACTCATTTGGTCCTCACAACCTGAATTGTATTCTCATTAGTAAGATGGAAGCAGGCAGAGATAATTATAGGCTGATATATAGCAGAACCACCACGGGCGTTATTAGGACCAGTGTTCATTTTGATTGTCAGGCTTCCATTCTGTTTGGGTGGTGCCTATATACCTTATGAGTTGTTAAATACTTTGCCTATCACCCTGGAAGCAGGTTTATATTGTTTTCAATTACTTGTTTCAAGGTACATGGCTAGTAAATGACAAAACAGGGCTAGAACCCAAGTCTTCCTGTTCCTAGTCTAGTCCTCTTTCTGCAGGATCTTTCATTAATAGAAGTGGCAAATAATCCTTCTATCCAAAAATATGTTTTGATAAATTTAAATTTGGGACAATATATTTTTCTCTAGCTGATAACAGTAAATTAACACATGAAATGAGGTTTCTCCCTTGCCAGAATTAAGGTATAAAAAGTCCTTAGAATAGTGATATATTTAGTGTTTGCAATGATTATTATTCTGGGAAGGTGTCCCTTGTTACCTCAGATATCAAAATATTGTTGGATTAAGGGATGTGTGAAATTATTAAGAATGTGTTATTAATCATAAAAACGGTATAGCCATCATTTAGAGAAAGGTGGTGTTTATTTGTGATGTCAATTTATCACCAAAACCTGTGATCTTTTTCTGATAATTAGATGTTAATTTAATATTAGTGCTTGGCTTTGGACATCTTAAGTTTATGAACTGGTACCTAGATATCCAACTGTGCTGCTTTTGAAAAATCCTTTTTTATCACTATTTCAATCTCTATACAGATTCACCAGGCATGCAAATTAATCTGCAGAAAATGCAAACGCCACGTGACTGATCTAACAGGGCAAGTGGTCCAGGAAGGAACCAGGCGCTACAGACTCTGTAATGAGTGCCTCGCTGAAGTGGGCATAGACAGCCTCCCCATTGATTTGGAAGCTGAACAGCATCTTATGTCCCCATCAGATGGAGATAAGGATTCCAGATGGCACTTGAGTGAAGATGAGAATAGATCATACGTGGAGATTGTAGAGGATGGGTCTGCTGATCTGGTCATACAACAGGTTGATGATAGTGAAGAAGAAGAAGAGAAGGAGATAAAGCCCAACATTAGGTAGCTAACATGTGAACCAACAGAGCTGGCATGTCTGCAACTTACGCTGACTTCCTGTATCTCTCTCTTTCCATGGTCAGAGTCTGGCTCACAAAGGTATCAGACTGACTTAAAAGTGATGACCTAATATAACTTGCATGCTTTCTGAACAAGTCATGGTATCCATTCTGAACTTTGTTGCCCTAAAATACGTTGCTGCACTGGAAAGAAAGACCTAGCTTGAGTTGGCATGATGGATGAACAGTTAATCCTCTTCCTTTTATTACAGAGATACCTTTTTTCTTTTAATATTGAAAGATCTACTTAGCAAGCTTTTCTCAAAGAAAATATTTTAAATAAATTTACCACAACCAGACTTTATAGTAAGATAATTTCAAGGTGTTTCAAAAACACAAACTACCAATATTGAATTTTCACAAGGAACCAGGTAAGAGCACATTTAAGGGTCTGGCACCCTTATCTGACTGAATTATAAGTCTTTCTATTAATTTCAGATCTAAAACAACCTTTCAGTATCCCAATATCCTAGATATTGTTTTAGGATTATGGCAGACAAATCTAAAATGTGTGAAACTGTTCATATTTGAATTTTTTGTCATTAAGGTAAAGATGACTCTTATGTAGTCAGTATTGTTTAAAACAAAACAAAACAAAACCTAAAATAGAGGCAGACCAGAGATTACATACAGACATCATCTTCTAAAGCAGGAAACAAATACTGCCTAAAAGTCAAGGTAGTTTGTGAAGATCTGTCAATATAATTCTCTTCCTCTCTAAAGGAAAACAAACAAACAAAGAACCAAAAAATGATGAACAAGAAAATTGGAGGTTACCAGTTCTCAAGAGTAATTTCTAACATTTATTGTTCTGCTATATTATTTCTAAAGTGCTCTCTCACACATTTTCTCATTTAATCAGCAAGGTAGATATTATTGTCTCTAATTTACAAGTGAGGAAATTAATCAGAAAGCTTAAGTGGCGGGACTGGTGATGGACAGGTCTTGATTTTAAACAGCCCTCTTTCAACTGTCCCCGTATTGTCTCCTGAAATGGCAAAGAATTGAAGTCAAACCTCACCAATCTGCAGTAATTAGAAAAAAAGCCTATTCAAATTAGAAAGTATAAAAGGAGAACTTAATAAGCTTCAACAACACATAATAACTTGGACTAGAGTTACCCAAGAGTGCTCAGTGATGTCCCTCCAGTGTCTACTGACTGTTTTTAATGTCAGGTTATTTATATGTAAATGTTATGTATAACACTCTTTGAACAAGTTATCTCTTACATGCTTTAAGCATTTTTCTTATCTTGTTTATATCATTTTTCAAAACAAACTTTTCTCCTAGGATATAAAGATGTGTTTAAACTCCTCCCCTGTAAGGGGTGCCTGACTGCGACTCTTGATCTTGGGAGTTGTAAGTTTGAGCCCAAGTTGGGGGTTGTAAGTTTGAGCCCAAGTTGGGTGTAGAGGTTACTTAAAAAAAAATTTTTTTTAATAAAATAAACTCCTCCCCTATATGAATTATGAAACATTCTAAAAGTAAAGTTCAATCAGAGAAGCATTATTTTAGTTCTGAAGATAAAATCTGAATCCCAGAAGAACCGACCTTACTGAAGGTTGCTTCAAATTATTACAGTTAAGCTTGATATAATTTAATTTTGATAGAGGCTCCATGTATTATACTGTATTTCTAAATGTCATGACATCCCTCAAGATGATATTTTTCACTTTATTTTTTCTCTTATTCTTTAATTCCTGATTGTCCTTGATACCAACTGGAGGGCTAAAATGGTTAATTTCTAAAACATTTTTTACAAATAGAATGAACAACCATTTGTTTTTGTTTTATGGTACTTAATGCTGAGACCTTTCCAAGATTCCCCTGATGGTAAATTTCCAGTTGCTTCAAGACTGGATGGCATGCACCGAGTTCACTGTTCTCCCAGCATGACTGTTCCTGAATCAGGAGTCTTAACAATTAAGTTGTATCCAAATGAGGGAGGGAACACTTTGTCATTCTTTAGTCTCACCAGATGGTAACATCTTTTAAAATTATTATCTGATTTGTAGTCCTTGGAGCCAATAGGAAAAATGAGTGATTGGAGCTTTACTCATGAGAATGAAGTAGTGCATGTGTATGCTCTAACGCACTTTAGTCTGTGATCTAACTGTTCTCTTAACGCTTCTGCATGCAAACATCAGCATGAACGTCAGCAAAGTCCACGGAACACCCTGCCACCAGCACCTAGACAGCCTTATCTGAAATAATGCTTTCTCATTGTTTATAACAAGCATCAAGCTCTCGCCACAAAACCGCCATCAAGTTCGTCAAACTAGACAGTGTATCTGTTCTACCATTTTAGTATCATAAAAGAAGAACATCTGTGACGTTTGTAAGTTGTAAATAATAACTCCAGTTATCATATCATATGTATCTAAGACCAGAGACCGATTCTTTCCTAGAGTGAGACTGTCAAATCAATGGTTTCTGAGAAAACAAAGTTCTTTGGCTTTTAAATGTGGGAAAATGTTATATAGGGGTATAATCTGTTAATATAAGCTTTATTTATGCCAAGGATTTTTTTTTTTTAATATTAGCAAAACAGTGGGAGTTGGTTAGAACAAAGTTTGCTCTTACAGTAATGCTGTTGATCAGCTTCTGAACGCCCTTCTAACTCTGGTCCTCAAGAGTGTGTGGTGATGGGAAGAAGTTTTGCAAAATAAAGCAACATTGCAGTCATGCCTAGTGGCTGGAGGAAGCAAAATGGACTGGATCAGTGGTTTAAGAGATTTTTTTTTTTTTTTCACCCAAGAAGCCCTTTCTTCAAACCCTTTCATAGAGAATCTCACCATTTAAGGGAGAAACTCTAAAATCAGAGCTGCTCTTGTTATAGCCTCCTACTAGCTTTCACCAGACACCTCTGCAGAACTCGGGAGGGCAGCACTGAAAACCTTGGAACAGGAGAGCTTTTTGAATTCCCTTTGAGCATTGGGGTCTCACTTCATTACCTCTATTACTCACTGTGCTTACAAGCTGGTAATCAGAGGGTCTTCTAGAGCAGCAGATCACATCCTTAGTCTATAGAATGTTCCATCTATAGTTATCATGTCTCAAGACTTCTGAAAAACATTTTTCAACAGTGTATTTTTGAGTAATAGAATCAAAACAAACATAGTAACTGCTCTTATGCTATGAAATTACTGCTTAATGGATGAAGAAAGTTTGGTGTGTCAATTACTTAAGAGCTCAGAACTGAATTCATTATTTTGCAGTCATGTTAAGATACATTGAAATTTCCACTCATATTGGATATATATGTGTGTGTGTGTATATATATATATATCCTAAATTAATTAATACTGTGGAAATTTAATACTATGGAAAATCACTAAAAGCAATATAGTGTAAGATGTATTTAACTGGGAGGGGTGATGATAGGTACTGGAGGACCAAACTTTAGATTATAAATGTTATTTTATATTAGAGTGGATCAGTATTACTATTTATCATTTATATAGCATTTTATATTTGCAAAGTATTTAATAATTTTTATGTTATTCTTTACATATCTATGAAATAGGACAGTTATCTCACATGAAAGGTAAAGAAATTGAGGCACAGAACAGTAAAGCAACCTCCCTAAGGCAACCCCCTGAAACAATGGCAAAAACAGGAATTAGAATGATCAGATTTTCTGAACCCTAGAATATCAGCTTAATTCACTGAGGTGTGTTGTGTATTACCCTATTTTATAAGATGCCTTTATACAAATAATAGTCAGTTGTCTTAAAGTTGACGTCATTGTATGTGGATAAATCCTATACAGAATAAATATTATGTAAAGGATGTGACTTTAGTTATAAGAGTTTTAATGGTAAAATTCAGGTTATCACAGAAACAGCACTATTTAGCCAGTGGCTTTATATATTGTGAAGTATAATTGATGTTTTATTTTGATATAGGAGTTTCTTAACTATTCATGCTAATGGAGCCATGAATAGACCAGAAAAATGAAATCCACAGAGGACCTATAAACTTCATCTTCGAACATGTTGGTCTTTTCCCTACAGAATTTGTATTCAATGCCAACAATAGGTCAAATATGTTAATAAACAATAAGCCATACACCAGAGAAGCCAAGGGCCTCTTAACTTTTCAAGGCTTTTATGTACTGAAATAGCATGATAAACAACTTTCTCCATCTTTTTTTGTTGTTGTTGTTTTTTTTCACACCCGTTTCAAAAGCCATTGGAAACTTACCACCTTTAGATTGGAAACCAGTGACCAATGTAATGCCAGTCACCACTACCTTTGGTCTTGATTAGATTATTTACAAACATTATTAAATGGAATACAACATAAAATACATCTAAGAATTTATTATACTTTGCTTTGCTCTTTCTGATTTCTAGATACGTGAATTCCTTATATAGTTTCTTGATTTTCCCATTGGGAAAATCTTTTAATTCCTTGTTGATATTATTTACAACTGTTTAGTTTCTTTATTAAAGAGTAACTTATTTTTATTCAGAGGAAAATGGAACATTTCTGCCTAGACCATAGTTCTTGGCCTTGGCTGCGCATTAGAATCACTTGTGGAGCTTTTAAAAATACAGATGCCGGGACGCCTGGGTGGCTTAGTCGTTAAGCATCTGCCTTCGGCTCCGGTCATGATCCCGGGGTCCTGGAATCGAGCCCCGCATCAGGCTCCCTGCTCAGTGGGAAGCCTGCTTCTCCCTCTCCCACTCCCCCTGCTTGTGTTCCCTCTCTCTGTGTCTGTCAAATAAATAAATAAAATCTTTAAAAAAAAAAAAAATACAGATGCCTTGGGGCGCCTGGGTGGCTCAGTTGGTTGGGCAGCTAGCTCCTGAAACGAGCCCCTCCTCAGCAGACTCCCTTCTCTGCTTCTCCTTCTCCCTCTGCCCCTCCCCCCTCCTCATGCCATGCTCTGTCTCTCTCTCAAATCAATAAAATCTTTAAGAAACAGAAAATAAAAATACAGATGCCTAGGCAAATCACAATCTTTGGCAGATGGGGCCTGGAAAAACCTTCCCAGGGTCTTTTGTGCAAAACAGGTCCCCTCTTCAAGGTTTCCCTCTGTCCTCATACAGATGCTATGAGGGGCATTCAGACCATTTGACCTTCCAGTTTACTGGTTCTCAACCTTAGGAACATACTTATTTTTGTGAAATGTCAAGATACTGTATATGTTCCCTTACTTAAATTTTTTATTAGGATAAATAATGACACTAAATTATTGGGTAGTCTTAAACTAGTCCATTTTTACTTTGGGATGCACTGATTATGGGTCTTGCATCCTGGGAATTCACACAGAACTTCAGATTGATAAGACCTGCATTAGGAATAGGTGGCTGAAATACTATATCCTGAAATTTTACAAGCTTTAATGTTCTCTTTGGTTTTTTTAGGATTTTATTTATTTGACAGAGAGAGATAGAGTAGGAACACAAGCAGGGAGAGTGGGAGAGGGAGAAGCAGGCTTCCCGCTGAGCAGGGAGCCCGATGTGGGGCTCGATCCCAGGACCCTGGGATCATGACCTGAGCCGAAGGCAGGCGCTTAACGACTGAGCCACCCAGGCGTCCCTGTTCTCTTTGTTTTTGAAGAAGGAACCAGGACACGCTCTAAGCACTATGGAACTTAATTGCTACACATTAGAATTCCATCAATGAATTGAATTAAATCATTTTTTATTCAAGTTAAATGTCATACTGGAGAGGTAGGACTCCATACTAAGATGTGTTATTTAAAGAAGTGTGAGGACAAATTTGGAAAGAAAAGTAAATTTCTTCCTTCAAGTATTGCCATTAAAAAACTTTTTTTTTTAAATCAACTTTTGAGTAGAGTACCATCCTCATGCCCACCTCTAAGGTTGTGCTTGCAATTCAAACAGGATAGGTATACCCCTTCCGCAGTCTTGTATACACAGACACTCCCTGGCTTAGTTTCCTACAAAAAAAAAAAGTTTTCATCCAATAGCGAAGTGGCACTTTTTTTGCAAATTTCAAAAAGATTAAATGCTGAAATAAAATAGAAATAGATACTGTGCTTTTGTTGGGTATTTGAGTTGACTTAAAACTTTTTTATCCCTGGAGGAAAAAAAATCCATGAGGAACACAACAGTGGAAAGCGGCGCCTGTAAGTATTGGCACTAGACGCTCCAGTATTATCCCCCCCATAACCATCCGCGACATTGATTTGAGCTCAGGTGCGTGACCCCGCGTGGCTTTCTATCTTCTTTTCTACAAGGGAAGACTACAACAGTGGGTAATAGGAACCTCCCTTTTCCTTTTCAGTCCTGTTTTCTCCCACAACTACTTTTCCTGGAAAGCAGACCACGGCTCAACCCCGAGAGAGGCCCGCGACCTACCAGACACCCCAAGGCTAGATTCGGGGGGGGGGACGGAAAAGTCTGTCCCGCAAAGTGGGTGCCCAATTAAAAGAGCCCACATTTGCTGAGTGTCTACTGGATCCCAGTCCTCTGAGGTAGGCATTCACTCCGGCCCCATTTTCAACTGGAAGTGATGCCTGCCTCCTGGTGAGGACCCACAGGGGGTCCTGGGGAACCAGCCAAGTGGGTCCCTGGCGGCGCGCCATCTAGAAATCAAACTCGAGCCAGCAGGAGGTGAAAGAGTTTATTGAAGCTATAGAAAGTGCAGGTACAGAGTGCCTGGGAGACTCAGGCGAGGAGAGAGCCCCTTGCTTGGGGTCTGGGGGTTTTTTAATTGAGGACTGTGGTCTGGTGTCGGGTCCTCGCAGGCATCCGGGCACCCTGGAACAAAGACGAGGGTCCAGGTGTTATTCCTTAGAGCCAGGGCTCTTGGCCCCGAGCTGTGTAGCGCCCGCGGTCTGGAATGCGCATCTGATAGCTTCCGCGGGGTCCTTCTCCCCTGTTCCTTCCTTAGATGTTATCTATTCCAAAGAAATCATTAATTCCTGCCCCTTACAAGGAGGACGTACGCTATTTGCATGATGAGGCATGTGTAAAGTGGAGGTGTAGGCAGAAAAAGGAACAAGAAGCAGATTTTATGGAGTGCTTCAGTTTCCCCGTCACAGAAGGAGGAAACAGGCTTGGGAAGTTGAATGACTGACCCCAGGCAGGGATTTGAGCCCATGCGATGGGACACCCAAAATCGTGGCCAGGCCAGGGACAGCTAGTCTATTTTATCCCGACTTCCGGCTACCATACTGCCGTGTCTGCGACACAGCGCTTCACTGCCTCCGAGTCCCCGACCCTCACACCCGAACAGCGGACACCCGGACACCACTGAGCCCGCGGCGCCCCGCCAGCCAGGCTGCTTGGAGAGGCGGGCCCCGGCGGCCAATGAGAGCCTTAGGCGCTCCGGGCGTCCGCACTCAAGCCAATAGGAGCCGGGCAAAGACACCTGGGGCGGAGCCAGGACCCGCTGTTGGCCAGAACTCCTGCCACTCCGGAACTTCCTGCGGGTCAGACTCAGCCCGGACCTCGCTGCGGTGCTCAAGTTTATCCAGCGTGACTGCCCTTTCTCTTGTTTTCTTTGCCCCTCTTCCTTCCCCCCCGCCCCTTTTTAGGGGGTCATAACTCTTTAAGAGAAACACTGAGCAACAAACGTTTTAACATGCCAGCCCTGTGAGGTAGGTGCTATTATGGCAGATGAAGAAATAGCCTTAGAATGAAAAGACTTGGCCAAGACCAGAATTGGGGAAGTTTCCAGAAGGAAACTGGAAGCAGGGCCCCTGGCTCCTACATTTACGTACATATTGAAAGGTTAGCCATTTAAAATGACTTGGGGAACCTCTGTCACGTGCAAGGCGGAGGAATGAAATGAAATGAGCGGAAGAACTTTACATTTCGGGTGGGGAGATGGACAAACCACCAAAAATGATGTGAGTGAGGTAGAAAGTACCAAGTGCTGGAAGCATATCCATTTGTTCATCCAACAGCTATCTTAATATCTACCATTTGCAGCCTCCTCCAAGCACACAGATCTCTAGATGGAATTCAGACAAATAATTTGGGTGGGGAGAGTGTCACATTTATTTTGTTTTTACACGAAAATGAATATAGATAACAAAAATCGTCATTCATCCCAACATACAAATAACATCTGCTGATTTAAAAAGAGAGAAAAGATGATTTTGAGCTATGCCTCGAATGGAAAGGACATCCAATTAAGAGACACAAAGAAGGGCAAAGGGGGTTGATCAATATAACTAAAGAATGAGTGCAGGGAATGGAAGTCTAAGAGAAATCCAAGACAGCTGCAGTCTGGGGAGTGGGCGGCCAAGGGTGCTATAGATAGAAATAAGGAATATGGAATTTGGATATGAAAACATGACATTAAGGATCTCTTCCTAAGGAGCATGGCGCCAGGAGCTTTGGAATCCAGGAAGACCTGGGTTAAGTGTCACTGAAACACACCACTAAAGATAGAAGGTTCAAATAAGGTATGTATTATAACCAGAAGCCAGCTCCCTTGCTTCAGGAACAACTTAAAAGAGGAGATGTGACTTCATATAATGACTTAAGGAGCTTTGTGCAGCAATGTACCCAAATATTTAGAACATCGTCTAAGTATTTCTTTGGACTTGAGGGAACCCAGTAAAGCTGGGATCAAGCAGGTGGGATGAGTCCAAATAGCTTCTGAAAGGTGAATTTCCAGTTATTTTGAAAAGGGACAGGGTTGGCGGGTAAGAATCTGGGCAACAGAATAGACTGATCTAAAGAACAGAAAGTAGATTAGTGATTGCCTAGAGCTGGGGGTGGGGTGGGGTGAGGGCTTAAAATGGTAGTGGGTTTCTTCTGGGGGCAAAAATGTTCTAAAATTGATTATGATGATGGTTGCACAACTGTGAAAATACACTAAAAACCATTGAATTGTACATTTTCAATGGGTGAATTGTATAGTATGTGAATTATATCTCACTGAAGTTGTTATAAAAACAATCAGGGTAGGGCGCCTGGGTGGCTCAATTGGTTAAGCGACTGCCTTCGGCTCAGGTCATGATCCTGGAGTCCCGGGATCGAGTCCCGCATTGGGCTCCCTGCTCGGCAGGGAGTCTGCTTCTCCCTCTGACCCTCCTCCCTCTCATGCTCTCTGTCTCTCATTCTCTCTGTCTCAAATAAATAAATAAAATCTTAAAAAAAAAAAAACCAATCAGGGTAAAAAGTCAAAGGTAGGAACTGGTGTTATGTGAACTTAGCTGG